TATAATCATCATATACCTATTGGTTAATTATCAAAAATGTACAAAATATCTAATCACCAGCGCCAAAAATCGAATAGGTACTGAAAAAAGTTCAAAATATTAGTAAGTATGAGACCATTTCACTGTCTTCGATGAATAATCAACCGGTTGTCAGTGAGCGGCAAAAAGTAAACAAGACGGTGTCGCCCTACGCCCTGTTCGGTGTCCTCGACGTGCCGCTCGATAAACATACGATTCCAGCTTTCCACGAATTCTTCAGGTTGATCCCGCCCCTTTCGAAGGAGAAGGGATAAGACAGAAAATTGATAATATTCGAATAATTTCGAGTGGCATATGGCCTCTTAAATAGAAAATGAGAAAAAGCAAAGATTGAGCGCACTATTTTGTGCGATTGAGAAGGAAGCACTATAGGCGATCCAAATCTCAAAATGAATGAGGCGCCCTATTGCATTTTATTGAAAGTTGATCATTGTGATTTTTTCCGAGTTTGAATTCTTCAGTAATATTATCTTGAATCTTCGTTTGGTTTCTCATGTTTTCATGAAATTTTGAGATTGAATTCAATGTTCTTATTCTCTCTAGTGAATAGTTCCACACAAAAAGTTCATTCCTTAATCAAAAGCAGAACTAGTTCAATTTTTCTGGGTAGATAGACTGAGTTATTCAAACATACTTCTAGCTTAAAGGACTCTTTGTCTAGTCAAAGTAGAAAGTGCTCAAAGAATTAAGTGGACCACTAACATTTTTGCCAATTTTGAATTTGACATAATTTTCCGAGAAATGAATTGATTTTCAGTCAGAAAGCAGTGCTTGAAAGCTGCGTTTTTCCTCTTTGAGATTCATTGTTCAAAACTCATCGAAATTCCACAGTCATGACACACCAAGTGTTTGAAAAAAAAATGTCACAGAAATGAAAAAGTTTTGAGCGCCCCCGTATTCCACAGAATTTTTTTAATCATTTTACAAATCCTGGTTCCTGAACGCCTGGGATGATATCTCGAAGTTGTTCCAGAAATTTCGATATTCCTCATACAGAATGATAGAATTCGATTTTTTTCGAATTTCTTGATTTTATCGCATCACTGCCGACTCAAACATTCCGTGGGCAATATCTTAACTATTGAACAAATCCTAGGAGATGAATTCATATTGCTTCGATATCATGAACATCTTCAACAGGAAAATAATTCCCTTTTATTGGCAAAATGTTGAAAGCTTGGTGTAATCGTATCTTCAGTTCGATGCTGTAATAACCAAATACTATTGAGAACAATAATTCTCCTTTTGGATCATCTGCCCTGGTCAATATCTCGAGACAATTTCGAGAATTTTCCAGATATTTAAATTCAAGGCGGATGATACCATTGCAACACCCAATATAACATCTTATCATGAGGGAACTGCCAAACCATTGACAATTGTCATTATTCTTCCACAGCTGCTGTCAATATGTATGGAATGTTTTCTAGTGATAAACCATTCTCAATGAGTCTGAGAGCATTTTTGAGCTCATTCTGAGACAATGGCGGCATAATTATTGAGTACAATAATGACAGCAATGATAACATTGAAATTGTGGAAAAATAATGATAGTTGTCAAAGGAGTTGTGATATTTGGTGTTGCAATTGTATCATTCGCATGAATAGTTGTTGATTACACAGAAACGAAATGTTTGGGGCACTTCCAATTATGTGACGAACAAACTTATGAAAGAGATGTTTCGTGATATCATGGTAAATCATGAAACTCTGAAAATCACTGTAACTTTGTTATTGTTCGTGAAGGTCAAAATAACCCAGAAGTGCCCCCTCTTATCCCCTTGAATCTGAAAAATCACGAAATGGGCGAGTGGACTTATAATGAATTATTTGCATTCAATTACTACACTGTGTCGTTAGGGACCTGAATCAATTTTTGCAGCACTTCTCACACTTTTTTTATGTAAATAATGAATGTATGCCTTGTTTGATTGTTGAATTTCGGAGCTCATTTCAAACGTACCGTCATGGCCACTATTTGGCGATACGTCGAATAGATGGTGACGTCAGCTTTTATGCTGTTTCGTTATTGGTCAGATAATATTCCATTCCCACTCACGAAGCAAGGTTGTCAAGTCAGCAAATATAATCAAGTTATCAAAAAGATGTAAGAGTCCTGTCGTTGAATGAAACATAATAGGAGGAACCCATGATATCATAGTTCATTCTTGACTCTTTCGAGCAACAAGCATGTCCAAATATTTCTAATACTCCATAACAAAAGTTCATGTATATGTTGGAGACTTGGCAACATTGTGCTGAATGCTGAGAAGGGACAAGTCCACACCCACAAGTCGTGCGCGTGGTGTTGTCACGTTCGCCGCTTCAGATGTCCTCTAGCGTGAATCAATATAATTACTATTTACACAAATGTATTATAAGCAATAAGCCACAATTCATAAGGGAACATTTTGAGACAATTGATTTTGTATTGCTTAATAGGAATATTAACAATACATAATTGAGAATTTATTGATGTTTGAATAAATAATATTTCTAAAGTTCCCAATCGTATTTCAACTCATAGCAGCTTTGCTATGGCAGCTGTGCTATGTTCTGCCCCTACTCACGAAATCGTGACATCAGTTTTTACTCGAGGTAGATTTCTATCCGTCTAAAAATTACCTTGGCATTATTGATGATTTCAGCACCTAAAAATGGACCGAAAAATTCAAAAAAATATGAAATCGAAAGGTATTCGAGTGATGATTCTATAATTTAGTCCACTTGCCTACTGTCCCGAGATATTGACCCGATTAAAAAAAAAGGATCGTTTTCCTGTTGAAGTTGTTCCTGATTTCAAGGCAATATGAAATAATTTCCTAGGATGTGTTCAATGGTATAACGAGACCGAAAATGCTCGAATCCTCAGTGATGCGATAAAATCCAGAAAATCGAGAAAACTCGAATTCCATCATTCTGTATGAGGAATATCGAAAATTCCGAAATCATTTCGAGTTATCATCTCAGGCGTTCAGAAACCAGGATTTGTGAAAAGATAAAAAAAATCCTATGGAATACAGGGCACTCAAACTTTTTCATTTCTGTAACATTTTTATCAAACACTTGGTGGGTCATGACTGCGGAATTTCGATGTGTTTCGACCAATGAATCTTAAAGAAGAAAAACGCAGCTTCCCGATTGAAAATCAATGCATTTTTTGGAAAATTATGACAAATTCAAAACTGGTAAAAATTTCAGTGGCCCACTTGATTCTTTGAGCACTCTAGTTTACTTGAGTTATAACGCAATACGTACTCCTGGAGATATACACTCACTACTGACGGCCCCGTGCATAACTTTCTCCACTTCGTGCGTAAAATGCGACTTACAACTCTTGTAATGTAATATAATATTAAACCGTATTGTTTCGAAAAGCATTCAATATAGCAAATTCAATTCTATCTAGTAGTTATAAAACTACTATTTTGAAAACCGATTCGAAATAGTCGTGAAGATGTTCTACATCCTCTTGATAAAACCGTTTGGACTTGAATTTTATTGTTCGTTAATATAATTAACAAAACTTTTATGTACCCATTAAATATTTCACAAACTTCAGTTAACTAGAAGTGCCTATAGAAAAAAACAAGTGACATGCGCGAAAAATTTGTATTTCACAAAAAAAAATCAACTGGGAAGAAATAGAAATTGTGCCTATTTTCAAAAAAAAAAAAAAGGAAATGAATGGCAGGTACGCTCTATTAGCATTATACAGGGTGTTTGGTTCACCGACGTATATCTGAAAGGGGGGATAGGTAAAAACATTTCGAACATATTTTACCGTATAAAATATTATAAAAAGTGTTACGGATTTCGATATATCATCGTTTTGTCGGAACATTTTATCTGATCATGTTTTTTTCAAAAGTTGAATACGTAGTCCATCGATATTGAACACATAATGAGATATAAAAATGTTTTGGCTCGTCAGAATTGAAAAAACGATTTTCTGTAACATCCAACTTCGAATTTATAAGCAATGATTTCCGGGAAGTGTAACACCTTGTACAATAGTATATGCTAAATATGTTCAAAATCACATTACCTACAACCTCTCTCCAGATATACGTCGGTAAACCAAACACCCTGTATACTACTCTTTACAATACAGGTAACAATCCTAAAACTAAACGGAAGAAAAACAAATTGAAAATAGTAGGCACATAAAATACAGTAAATGGTGTCACAAACTTTTCACACATAGTCTCTGCTATTTTTTTGGACAGTCCCAAAGAAGTATGGTTCATGGTTCAAACAGGTAAGTTATTGAACAGTCTCAAACCCGTAGTGAAAACAGTGTTTCAAAGTTAAAGTATATTTTTCTACTCCCTTACTAGAATACGCAAATTAAATATCATTTATTGTATTGTTCATTTTAACATGGATTTTCTTTATGAAACAGATTTTGACCAATGAGGACACGTACTTATCATCATGAAACGAATGTTCGACCTATAGGAACACGTACTTGGGTATTATCCAGTGGATCTATGTTTCTATCTCACTTGCTTGAGTTGTTGTTTGACATTTAATTTCATTTCAATCACAATGCTCAAAGTGGAACAAAATGTTAAATTAATACAAAAAGCTCAAAGTCATTTCACACAATGTTCATAAAATGAACAACAATGGTATATTTCGGGAGAAAAACAACTACTTTCCTGGCTAATACCAAGAAGAACATTGAATTACATCCTCCTGAAATCTATGCATCGACTCGTATAAACGAATACTGATACAAGTGATTCTTTCCTGAATGCCTATTGATTTCGATTTAGCCAGGCCACGCATAAATATTTTCGAAATCATCAATGATGTCAGTATTTACTTCAAATTGAAAGTCCTATCGGGTTACCATAACACTAAAATGTTTACTCATAAGGTAGTTTTCGTTGGTAAAATCTATCATTATTTTTTAGTTTCTTTCACTGTTACAGAATATCCTTCATTTTTTGCAGTGATTATTCAGATCCTGATGATTTGTGTGACCCTGAAGCAGAAATGGACGAAGAAATCCAAGCAGCTTTCAAAGAATTTGTTAAACTCGGTAATAAACAGTAATGTTAAAGATTCATTGGGGTTGATTTCATTATCAATGGACACAATGTTCAGTGCATTAAGTAGACTCGAAAAATATTTATTACACCAAAATTCATGTTATATTTTTTAATTGCACTTCAAGAAACAATGTTATGTTTAGGTCGTCAATAGTCTTTTGTCATATTTATTATTTGTTTTTTACATTGTCTATCTAATGTTCTGACTGATGTATATTATATATGTATGTAGGAACAATATATACCCTGTTGTCATTAATTATTATTTTATAATGCTGTGACTCAATTATTAATAATTGATAATTAAATTATTTTGTAGTCCTAAATCGTAGTGTCATTTAAAATTTGGAAATGTGTATATATGACTGATGAACATTTTCCGGCAGTTCTGACAACCATTGAAGTCCTTGAACCTGCGACGTCGATCTGTTACCAAGCAAAAGTTATTATCATATGTATTACCACAAGTAATACTATCTTGCCTGTTTTCGGCGATTGCTACGAAAGCTTGTTGCCTGATAATTTCGCTAAAAGCCATTGTTTATCAAAAATGTCGAGTCGTAGTCGAGGAGTTTTGGAACAATTTCATGAGCGAATTCGAAGCACCAAGCTGGAGTATGTCAATCGACGAATATTTCCAGGAAAAGTAGTATCTCGAGTTGTATTCGTATCACTGCACACTGCATCCATCATTCTGGCTCTTTTAGTAAACAAAAAATATCGCTGTAATATAGGAGAAACCGTAAAAATGGTCGATATTGATTGGTTGTCGAGGACAAGAGTGGAATAGTCAATCAAAAACGTTTATTAAAATGTATCAATATCTAAATGTATCAACAATTCACAGTAGTTAAGTAACACAAAAACTATGTAGTTTTAGTGCAATCAAAACGAATATAAATTTAATAGCATCCGACAATGAAATAAGAAATTACATTATATTGAGGATTAATATAATATCCCAGCAAACACACATATGTCTGCCATATGGCAAATGGAGTTCATCAGGGTTCCGGAGAAACATCACCGTGGAACATATCTGCTACGAAGCTATTACATTTCATGCAATATATTTTCTCGTTCAGGTGGTTACATAACAGGAAACATATCATATACATATATGATGCTTCAAATGACATAAAAAAAGATTGTTCAGTTGAATTATACATGTATGGTGAAGGAAACAAATTCGCATGTTTCACTTTATGTCTCGAAACTATACAAGATCATTTCTAAAATCACCAACATATTCATAACAGTGAAACGTTCTTTTCCGTAGGAGTTGGTACCTAGTTGATGGAGAGAACTTCATGTTAGTTTCCTTTGAAGGTTATGTTATGCTTTGCATGTTCGTCTCACACATTTTTTCAGAAAAAAATTCAAATAGTGTATTGTTTTCATTGTGGATTGTTCATAGTGATATTGAAATATCTCAAAAATATGTTCACGAGTTGAGTACAAGACAGAGGTGGGATCGAGGGTGTAATATCACAAATGAAACTGATTTACCTACCTAATTATCTGTCTCAACTTGATCACACTGCTAATGGGCATTTATCTATGTAAGTACCACCAGCCACTCCAAAGCAGCTGAATCTGAAGAAGATGCCCAATGGGGTTTTGAATGATGTTTTTATCTGTGACTATCAAGATCAATTTGGAAGACTTCTGGGTCATGGAATATTCCATGACACTTCCATGTGCAATTTCCAATGTCTGTTTATCTATGTAAGTACTATATCAGCTGTTTTTTAACAACTGAACCTGAAGAATGTGCTCACATGGATGTTGAAAGTATAATGGTGTTCTCATCTGTAAGTTCTAGGACCAATATGGATGGGTTAGAAAATCCAAAGCATGAAATAAGGAAACATTCTTTGAGAGAAGATTTTGGGTCATCAAACAATCAAACTTTCCATATTCCACTACACTTTCAAGTGCATTTTCCAAAGTAGGTTTCAACCTCTGAAGTAGAACTCTAGAACCCAGCTTCAAACACGAAGGTGTACCTATCAATAGTGTAGGGTCAAAGTGCCAATGAGACATTATGAACCATTTTGGAATTGATGGGTGTGTCAAAAGTGCTATATATAGTATGTGCAGTGCTTTTCTCCAAAGACATTCCTGGATATACACCTGATATAAAATCAGCTAGAAAGCATATGAATATAGGTGATTTACCACTCAATTTACCTATCATTACCACTGAAGTACCTATTCTTTCATTTTGGTGTCAGAAATGCTGGACCATTTCAAATTGATAATAAAATTTTCATCTTCAATATTTTGTCTCTATTAACATAGGTATGATGTTTTCTCAGTGATGTATTTAAAACTTGAATTTCAAATAACTTCCATTGATTTTCAATCTAGAAACCATGATTTCCATTTCTCTAGGACTATTATAGGTACTGAAAACAATCAGACATGAAACACTACAAACGAGGAGGTAACTACAACCTAGGTATACAAGGTTATCCAAATATTGAGTGTTCACCATAGGTAACTTTGTTATAATTGAATATACAACATTGTTTAAATTATCAAACTAGCAGTATTTCCAATTCTCTTCATGGTGAAAGAATAAAAATAAACATTTGAGTATCGGTTTTTTGTAACATATAGGAAATTTTCTTCTATAGTCAGAAATACCCATGTACCTACTGATAGTTTGTTGATTTGAACAATTTTGTATCTTCAATAATAACAAAGTTATCAATATGGCTGTCGACATTCAAATTCCTGTATATTTCTCGAAATGATCAAGTACATTATTTTGGATTCATCTCACATATATTACTCTGTAACATTCATTTGAGTATCATTATAAGAACGAATTCGTTACTTATAATGTATCTGAGACATGTATGCAATATTACTTCGAAAACGCTCAACATATGTCAGATATATAAAGGACATATTCAGGGAGGCGGAAATTTGACGTTACATGCAAGATACATTAACTGTACAGATAATATGTCTGCAACATCGGATGAGAACAGAAATATGTGGTTGTTATGTATCAGATATGTATTTGTGTTTGCTGGGATGTGGTGCAACGTTCCCTCTTTTTGACACCTTAGACAAATTTCAAACAGGTAGTATCACTGGTTGACCTTCATATCGCCGAATGGACAAAAGCCGAAGTATTGGTTCAAAAGCCAGAACAGGTCGGTAGACACATTGCCGAAAGTGGTCTAAACGACGAAACATCTTTGTACATATCGTTGAAACATCGATAAAATAAACCTCGTTGAAACAGCTTAATTTGAAATTCTAATAGATGGAAACGAGTACATGGTCTCATTTATTGATGCTTTCTTGTTTATTATTGGCATCAACTTTTGATTCTTTAGTAGAATTCTTGAATTTAGGAGATCATTTCGATTTTTTACCCAAAATTCTAATAATTCGACTTTTGAATCGTTTTTGGGTTGCTGTTACTGATGCCATGAGATATGTTTTAGTTTCTTCTTGTAGGAATTATCCAATTCCACGAGCAGGAACTGAACCGAATCACATGGCGATCACAATCACCTAGAAATAAAAAAATTCAAACTTCTGAGAAGTTTACCCAAAAGAAAACTGGCGCATTTGTAGAACGATCTCCTGAATCGAAAAGTTAAAAAAAATACTGTGTTATTCAGCTGAGAATCAAAAGTCGATGACAATAAAAAAGATAGCATCAACAAACTAGGAATTTTACTCATTTTATTCTGTCTGAATTTTGGAATTCTTGAACCAAGTACCACTCTAAAGTTACGAAGGAGTAGACCGGTGGCTGTTTCGGCATTATGACCACTTTTGGCAATATGTCCATGAGTTTTTTGGCAATTTAAACACTTTCGGCGACTTGTTCAATGGCAAGTTTTGCCATGTGTCCACTTACCTGTTTCGGTGTGTTGTCCATTCGGCATCTTGTCCATTTGGCGATGTGTCATGGACCTACCCCTACCATTTGAAGTTTTACAATCAAAATTTCATATTGATTAAACAATAACCCTAACTACCAAATGCTCAATATAACAAAACCCTTGTCTAACACTTCATATATATATATTTTTTTGAGAACAATAATGGCTTATGGATTATTTAAAGATTCATTTTTTTTAGACATCCTAGAGAAAAATTTGATTTTTGAATTGTTAATACTATGAAGGAATTGTTTATAACATCCTTATTAGTATTTAATCTTGTAATGATAAGGTATACCTGGAGATAATAAATCATTGAAAAATGAAAAGTTGCCCAACATTCCACTCAGTGGAAATAAATTGTTATTACTTCTTCCTAAGATGAAAGATTACACTTCAATTCTAAATAATAAAATCATGTCATGTAGGTACAGTAGAGGGGCTACAGGGCTACCAGCCCAAGCCAATCAGAGACCAGCATTTGGTTGGAGGCCACACCCACTAAAAACCAGCGCGAAATTCAAATTATTCATACGACGTCACGTCGCCATCGTGAATAAATAAATTAAAAAAAGCTGTCACCGCTGGGGGAAATTGAACCAGGGACCTTTGCATTATGAGGCAGCGTATATACGCACTGTGGTATTCCGACCTCCGTGATATTTCAATTATTTTAATGCTATTCAAACGGGATATCCATCGATGACGCGCGCTTATCTTTGCAACGGATCCATCGAGGTAGAGTGAAGCGAGAGATGCATTCCAGAGATAAGAAACTTCGAGTCGAAAATAATATCCATCGCAGGCGCGCGCTTATCTTTGCAACGGATCTGTAGAGGTACAGTGAAGCGAGAGATGCATTCCAGAGATAAGAAACTTCGAGTCGAAAATAATATCCATCGCTGGCGCGCGCTTATCTTTGCAACGGATCTGTAGAGGTACAGTGAAGCGAGAGATGCATTCCAGAGATAAGAAACTTCGAGTCGAAAATAATATCCATCGCAGGCGCGCGCTTATCTTTGCAACGGATCTGTAGAGGTACAGTGAAGCGAGAGATGCATTCCAGAGATAAGAAACTTCGAGTTGAAAATAATATCTATCGCTGGCGCGCGCTTATCTCTACACGGGTGCAGCGACAGCAAATTTCGCAATCAACAGCATAACAGATAAGGTTGGAGGTTATCAAAACCACAAAAAACCCAACAACAAATTTCACAATCAGCAGAATAACAGGAAACGTCGAAGGTTATCGAAACCGCAAAAAACCTAACAATTTCACAATCAGCAGCATAACAGGAAACGTTGGAGGTTATCAAAACCACAAAAAACCCAACTAGTCGCAT